GAGGATCCATCGAATCACGAAGGAATGTTCACGTCCTGAAACGCATTCTTTGTGATGGAATGAGTGAATGAATAAGTGCAGCAGTGGACGAAACGACGAGGCAGTGGATTTTGTGTCCCACCTAACACCTTGGATGCATTCACCTGATGTGGAATGCTTCACCCATCCTTTTGTGTGGAAGGAGGTGTGGAACGACTGACCAATCTGCAGCTCGATGTCTAATCGCCGTTGAGGGTGGTGTCAAGCGAACGTGGCGACGAGATGCTGTGATGTCACTGCTGACGCAACGGTACCTCTCTCTCTACACGGTACTCGTCTGCCCACCTGCTTCCTCTCCCAGTCCTTCACCATGCTGACCGCACTCCGACATTGAAGGAATGCACCGACGCGCTTCACCATCACGCCCTACATTGGCACAAACTACTGCATCAAGGGCGTCGTCGACAGCCCAGGGAGGAATTTATTTACTCATTCCTTCAGTGATACTTGCAATGGAGACACGAACCGGTGCTGGCTGATAACTCACCTCTCCTGGTGTACTGTTTTCGCGTTGAAAGCAAGTGGCGTGATGTGGGAGTGGGTTTGGGGAGTGACACAAATGGAATTGTGGTGAAGTGCAACCCTCACCCGCGACTGCACGCAGTCGTCGTGAGCGTCATTTCTGCCATCGACGATGCCCAAATGACCTTGCTGTCATGATGCAGTGTGCAGGAGATTGGACGTTCTTGGGAAACATTTTCCAATTTCCTTAGTCTACTGGCAATGTTGATATCGAGAGGTGTTTTCGCACAGTCTGCCGAGAGCTTTGCCTGAGGACCCGACTGTTCTTGCCGTGGATGATACAATATGATGGCTGTCGCCCTGAGCGTGCTGGACTGGTGAAACTACAGCCTTCTCTCTCTTACACCGCGTAATTCTACACACATGCGTGTGTGTGTGTGTGTGTGTGTGTGTGCTAGGAGCACGAATGAATCCGCGTTGGTGTGTGTACGGTCAGGCGGGGACACGAAGTTCTCTTCCTCCCACCCTACCCCTCTCCCTCACCTACTCCTTCTCTTCGATGGGCTGCATCCAATCATCTTCTGGGAGTGGATGAGGGGCCTTCGAGACTGACACTCGTGCTGTTTTGGCAGTAGGGAGCAGTGGAGGTGGCTAGTGAGCAACAGTCGCGACGTGGAGGAGTGACGGAGGGAGGAGGAGGCAGGAGGTGGGAGGCTTTTGCAAACCAGAAGAGAATGTTTCGGGTTATGAAGGAGCATGAGGCTTGTGTCGACATTTGTTGCTCTGTTGTGTGGCAACCTTAGGTTGAGTAAATGCCGTGTATCGAGTGGGTGGTAAGCAGATAACCTCTGGCAGACAGTCTGGAATGCGAGATGAAGGCGAGTGGCATTGGTTGTGCAGATGAGGAGCCATCCACTTTGAATGAGACGTCGGAGGATCAGCGAAGTGTATCGGTTGCACCACTGCACCGTTTAACAGGTCCTAGTGATGTTGGTTTGCAGGATTCCAGAACGATTTGTTAGCGTCATCTTTGCAACTTACGCGGCACAATTTCCTTCACTTTTATTGTATTGAAGAGCCTCTTCTGACAAAATCTGTGGCAGATTTAACGGAGACGCCACAGCAGTGAGTTAGGTGACATCAACGAAAGTACTCATGTCGAATAAGTAGTATATTCGCTTGGGTTGGCAACACGGACAGACAGGGCATGGTGCAACGCATGCCTTGACATTTGCCTGCAGGAAGGAAGTAATTAATGGCCAGCCAACCATATGGCTGAAACAGGAGTGATATATTTACTCCCTCAAGTCATTCCTTCTGTAGTTAGGGGGGCCTTGACCCAAGCTTTTACCACTTTACCCTTAGTCATCCACCAGACACGGACCGTTTCTCTCTCTGAAGATTGAGTTATACATTTACACGCCTTCGCTTTGCAGATGACTTATCTAGAGCAGAAGGATCCACTCAAGCTGGACGACTTCTACGAACACCAATCAAAGCGCTTGTTGGAGAGGCTCCTGCAGGCACCCAATTTAGGCTATCTATCAACTTTAACATTTCAGGGTATGTATACTGCGAGTTTCGGGGCTTTTAAAGAGGAACTAAAACCCTCTTATCTGCCGCTAATAGTTGATTTTGCATTCCTGATTTTCAGGATACAATTTGAGGAAGATCATTTTCACTTCCAGCCGTCAACGAATTAGCTTTTAATTATGTTAAATTGCCATTTTATTGATGTAACTGACAGGCGTAGTCATTAAACGCAGCGCTTGACGTGCCAAAATACGACACAAGTGAATTATGAGAAAACAATTTTATTCATTTTACTGCCTTGTGATCAGTAAAACAGCACCCTGCTACTCACAAAAATTCAGTAGACCTTTACTGCGAATTCAAATCCCCATATTTTTTACTTTTCATCCAAAACTTGTTTTACCAAAACTTTTTTTTTTCATTATAGAATTTGTAAATCAAACCTTTCCATCAACTGAATGTGATTTCAGCAAGTTCTGTGTTATGCACTATCATGGAAAAGTGCGTTTACCAGTCATATGTTAACTTTTTTAATGCATAAAATTCCTATTTAACCTTTTTATTTTTAACTCAGGAGGAGTATCCACTGCAGAGCGTTTATCACAAACTCACTCCTCGACAAAACAGGGGGATGTTGGAATTGCTCCAAAGCTCAAATATCCCATTTCTGAGGGAATTTCGTCTCGAAAGGGGTAACCGCCTTTCCCTTTTTAATGCCCTGATATTTTAAAAACTATCACTTTCATATTCTTTATATTGTTCTTTTTTTTTACAGAAATTAAATCTGTTGAGGTAAGTTTACACGACTGTTTAGTTTCGCTTCCTCTGCCGAGGTTCCCCAACAAGTCGGCTTATTTTATTCCAGAATCTGGTCGACATTGTGATTCAGGTTACCGATAGCAACACCTCCGTCAGCTTGATAAGGTAAACAAAAGCGTAGTAGATTCCTTTTTTTGAAGAAATGATTTTGTATCCTCATTTGAGCGTGCTCCATCTGGTAGAGGTTCCCTTGAAAAGCTGAGTTAACTACTCTTCGATGTTCTACAGCGGCCATATTCCATCTTGAGAACGGCGTTCAAGAGCTATCCTCGTGTTGAGCATCGTGGTTATAGAGGCGCAATTTCCACGCCTTTGAAATTGTTCTAGCCTCATGACTTTCTACGAAGCACAACCCTAGGCTCTGCAGATTTAGCCATTCAGGGTAGACGCCCTCATTCTATGACGTCTCTGTGAAGTGTCCATCCTTTTTAAGTGGATTGGCCAGGTCTTTGGGACTGGGCGCTTAGTTGATTAAAAGGGCCCACTTATGTTGGGATACTCCACTGCAACCAATTTAATCCTAAATTCCTTTTTCAGCGTGCTGGACGATGGACGCTCGAGAGTGGTTGACTGCCAGCCGCAGACCATAACCCTGCCGCATCTTTCACCACCCCTGTCAGAACAACTAACCTCCCGTCGACACTTGCGAGTGCTCCAAGAATGCGGTTTGTTGAACTTTGCCGCAATCAACAACACAGCCTCTGGATTAACTGTCTTTAAGGCAGACGAGTTCCTGCGCACTTTCGCGGTGTTGGATTACCTCCCGTCTAATGAGGAGAGAAGTTTAAAGGCTCTTGCGAATAAGCTAGTGAAAGCGGGCAAAAGACCATGTAAAGTGAACTCATGACTCCTCCAAGTCGAATCCAGCACGACATTCACTGTTTTACCTTTAAACTCTTCAGGTGGAACCTATTTGTGGCACGGAACGGCTACGAAACCACTGAATTTGGCGTTTTTCAATGACAAAATCGTCAAAATAGTGGATAACTGTGGTGTACTAAGTGACCTCTACTTCGTATCTCGAGACTGGGTAAGTCAATGTTCGCCTTCTCTGCGTTGCTAAGTTAAAATAGGAGGATTTAAGCACTTCTGGAATTAGTTTCATGAACCAGGTCAAATTACTTTTATAAAGGAAAACATTAGCTACTGCGATATGTTACTCGGAATTAATTCAGTAGTACTCGGCCATTGTTTTCACTACGGCTAAGTGGATGATGGAGGAAGCAGAACCACTTCCTGGCTTTTCAACTACCTCGTAGACGACAACCGTATGACGAGAGAGACTGCTGAGTGGCTCTGCCGACGGGGATTAGTTGGTGATCTCCGCACACTCACCTACTTGCTCACAAAGTTAAACGCAGTTCCCTTTTCCCACCCACCCTTCCTCTGGTGCATTTCCCACATAAATTTCACGGTTGAAAACCCCTCATTCGAGACCTCAAGAGCGACCGGCTTGTCAGAGAGAAGAAGTTACAGCTTCCGCCTGAATATTTGGGGTTTCGATTGGGAGTTTACCCCGTTTTTGTTCCTCCTAGGTTTTCCTTTCCACCATAGCTGTTAAGCAACTTAAACTGGAATTGCTCAAACACTCCATCGCTTCGCGTCGTATCCAACGCTGGTGGCGTCGCCGACATGAACAAAGACTCATCTTAATGAATATTTCTAATTTCCTTCTCCACCCGGCCACTACCGCAACCAACGCCACCACCGTCTCTACCGTTAACAACAATTTCAACTTCCCTGAAGCCGTCGACAGGCGGTCTGTGCTTCCAGCTGAAGCCGGTGAAACTCCAGCCTATGTCGTTACCAACGCGTTTGTTTCCAACATAATGATGCCGCAAATCTACGAGATTCCACAAGTTCCACCTCATCTGCAGCATCAGCAGAAAAAGTCCAAACGACCTCCACCGTCTGCTGGAATTGCCTGGTTCGAGCCTCGGCATCAGAGGCCTCCTGCCTATCCCCCAGTGGCTCGGAATGAACGCCCAGTGAGTTGGAAGCCGTAAGAATTGATAAGGAGAGGCGTTTAAGATGGATTGCTATATTCTGGTACAATTTTTAGGTGACACTTGTTGAAAGCCCAGGCACTCGAGTTCTAAGTCGTCAGCATTCTGCATATGGGCCCCCCGACATGCCTGCAGTGAACCTTCGGCGCAGTAACAGCGCTCGATCAGTGGATAACCACCACATTACCTTTGTATCGTCACCGATATATTCAAATGAGGGACGTCCGCTAACCCGCTCAAGCAGCACCAATGTGGGGAACATAGGTCGGGAGGCTCAAGGTGGTGTTCAACGACGGATTCGACACAAGACGAATGATATGCCCGAGCTGGGAGCTCGAAGACCCGTCTCTTGGCATGTGGATCAAATGGAGGCTCAAGTGTCTGCACACTTAGAGAAGCAGAGGTTGCTGAATGGAGGGCACTCGCCTGTCAGCGGTCGACGCGGATCGTCCGCCGTCAGGATGGCTGAAGATCAGGTGGGCGTATACCCCTTAGGTCACGCATCAAGATCTACTTTTTTGGGTAGGAAATTGTCATGTCGTCAGTACCTGACACGTCCATTTCGTCCAGATTTAGAAGGGTTGGAATTCAGTTTTTTCTGTTTTTCAAGCGTCACGGTCCGAGACACGCAAACTTTGAGAATGGTCAGCCTCGCACCTCCTTCAATGGTGGCGGCGGAGGCGGTGTTTTCTACCCCTCCCTTCATTCAAGGTCGCCGTTGTCTGCGGAGGCTCAGCGCGAGGAGTACATTCGCGTGCAGGCAGAAATCACACGGGGCGAGTTCAGAGGCTCGCGAGAGCCAAATTCCTCGCCCCCTGGGCGCTTGGCTTGCGCGGGTCGTGTGGAGGTTGTGGACAGTCGACAGAAAGACAGTTAGTTCTCCACTAGTGTATTTGGTGCGCTTGGTTACCTAAGTGACTGGTTATACTGATCCGCATCTAAAAGTTGGCATTTAGCCAAAAATATGGGTACATGATTTTTTGGCGCCACTTTGTTTTTCTTTTTGTTAAAACGGTATCATTTTTCTTTTCAGACTTTCGCTCTCCACAATCATCAAAGTCTTTTAATGTAAGGTTTTTTAATAAGTAATTTATAAGGGGCTCATATGAAGCAATCGGTTTCGGGCGTCTTTTGAGCCAATAAACTCCAATATTTGTAATCATTGGGAAAAACAAACAATCAGTCTACTTAATACAAATTCAGTAGTGCTTGAGATGGTATAATTGTATTCTTTGCACATTTTGATCCTTCTGTTGTATGCTCCTCTAGCAATCCCATTCCATCGAAACGGATACAAAATTTAACTTGAAGCATCTACTTTGTTCTCCATCACGGTTTATTATTATAGAGCCGAACATACTACTTGTACAGAAATAAGTAGCATATTGCATGGTATTAGTAATCAGCCCGCCTAATTCAAAACGCTTAACACGTCTTGTTTATGCTGGTCTGTTGGAAACCAGGTTCCTATCGCACACGGATCTCACCCGGATATCCGTATTCTGCCTTCTGACGATTCCGTCAATCTGCACCACCAAAGCTACGCCATGAATTCGAACAACGCCAACAACAGCAGCAACAGGAGGGACACAGAGGGCGCTATGGTTCGATCCCACGGCCTTCAACCGGGGATTCCACCACACCCCTCCAGCGTGCATCGAAGACGTCCACAAACCACTCTCTTCGATGGTCCTCTCACCCCAAATCTCCTCTTCATTAGCCCCTCTGCGAACTCCGTCCAATCCGTTGAGTCTTCTCGAAATCCACGAGTAGCATTCGTGACATCTTCTGCTGGTGGAAAGGTGGTTATTCCTGTTGGTGGGACTAAATCCTCAGCGCCATCCTTGCCAACATCTAGAGCATCTTCCGCACGCGGCGGTGCTGTGGACAATCGGGGACTGAAGGCGCCTGGATGTCCGCGAAGCTACTGCTATGATTGAACTGGGAAATGTGTTAATTGTTTGTATAGCCAAGATGATGAAGCGAGGTGCTTTCCATTTAATCGGTTGGTCGATCAAGAACCGCTGACACCCATCTCCCAACCCGCTCCCCACACCCTCCGCCCCCCGCTTTCATTCGTCCCTTCTCTATTGACAACTGTCACTGTTTCGTATCGGTTTTAGGGAGTACCAAATAAATTTATCTTTATCATGAATTACTTGTGGAGTTTAGTGTCCCTTTAAAGGGGCGTGGCCCATGTTTAAATGAATTGAAAGATTAGGTTGGTTCCGCGGATTTTGAACGCGAGTTTCAGTTTGGTTCTACCCTCAACGCTCCCCCTCCCCCTCCCCCCTTGTTCACGTCTGAAGGATAGAGGGACATGGGATAGATCGTTCCTCGTAGAAAAAAAGTTCCAGCATCACAGAGAACCGAAAAAAGGTGTGATAGCGATATGGTCTTGACCAGAAGGAGCTGACGGATGAGTACCGACGTCTCCACCACTATCTGTCAGCATTTTGCATCCTCCCTACGGATAATAATTTCTCCAATCCAGCACTAACTTCACACTTCAAATCGCCGAGTTGCCACTTCAAACTTCACCTTTGGGCGCATTGCGTCAGGTAGTCCTTCACCTCCTCGTTGTTGTGTTCTGTCTATTCACATCACCATCACCACCACCATCATCGCCAACGATGGCAGGTAACAGGTGACATGCCAGGAATGTTGTATTCACGCCTTCGCACGCATTCTTTCCTCTTTGCAGCAATCCAGTGACACGTCTACAGATTTGGGCATCTCCACCTACGACATCGACGACGCTGCATGCGAACCCACCAAGAACACGTGAGTACCTTCACTTGTCCCCCTCTGCTCTGAAGCACCGTCGTGCCAACTCACTTCTCGAACACTTCTAGCGCACTCAAACGCGAGTCTGTCATGCAAACGAGGGTGATGGGATTACCGCGTGGCACTTGTAGGAGGATCTTTACTGCCCTTGAAGGGTCTGTGTGTGGGATGAGAACATTCACGTAGGTCTGGGGACTCGTCGATGCCGATGGCATGCACTGTTGTCCCTCGTCTACTCCATTGAGGCCCACAATTTGGTGAGGCAACAAAAGAGCTGAGGAGGAGGGCTATGAGGAGCAGGCAGTGGGTTGGGGTGGAATGGGTGAGGTGAGGCTTGAAACACTATCAGTGGCTAATGGGAGCACCTAGTACATTGGGGCGTAGCCCTGCCTCCATCTCGCTTTGAGCGTCGTCCTCCATGTGGACAATGAGTAGTCCTACGCTGTTGCCACCGCCACCACTACCACAATAACAACCGCAACAGGCAAATAAGACTCCGATGGGGATGCTTATATCTCCAGGAAAAATTGAAGCTTATCAAATCAAATTCACAGTGTTTTTTCGTTTCCCATTTAATTCTAAAAACCACTCCCTTACGAAGTTCTCTCTCATTTAGCTGAGTTCACCTTTGGGTGGGCTTTAAGTTCACTAACAGTTACTCTACAACCTAAGGTCACCCAGTTACCAATAGCTACAAGTCGCTAGGATGGTCGAATGACTCATTCAGCTCTTGAGACCTCGCCGTCGGGTGCATGTGCGCTCGTTCCTCCCACCCACTTACTCCTGCACGTAGATCGATAAGGCCACCTGCTCTTAGTTATTGACTATTGACTACCTAGTAAGGAGATCAATAAATCCGACTGTTCAGATGCCCCGATCGACTAATTATCCGGCTGAGAAATTGATTGGAGCCGGTCACTCGCCTATATAAATCTCAACCCGTCACTCTTTCAAGCAGGCTGCTGGCATTCAAGATCCGCGCTCCTGAAGTCTGCGTCCTATTGGTCACTCGGTCTGAGGACGCTACATGATTCACCCTCATCTGCGTAAACGGATTTATTTTTAGCCTTTTCCTGCTTTTAAACAAACAAGTAAATAATATTACTATTTTTACATTTGTCTGAAACCCTTTGATGGTTTGCTTAACCCTACATTTGATTACGCAGGCGCTGATATTTGCGCAGATTTTACCCTTTTTCCCCCAGTGGGCATGACGGTAGCCTTTTCATCTCTTCTCTATCTCTACCACAGTACAAGGACTTCTTACGCCTTCAGGAAAGACCCAGAGTACTACAATGATCATGCATAATTCTGAGTATTGTACAGTTGGGAAGGAAAATTTTATAAATTCGTTCCTAAATTTTACGTTGCTAGGTTTATTCGTAGAGATTAATGCATTCAAGGAGGCTCAAATTACTTTATGAGATTGCACTTCCAAGAAAATCTGTAACTTTGAAAGTATTTAGAAAGATATTCCGGTAAGTATTATTCCTTAAAATCAGGGCGTTTTGTGTAAACACCTATACTTATTTTGCTTGAATAATTAGACGTCAAATTCTTATCGAATTCATCTTTTCATCTTCACTTCCCTTCAACAGTTCGTCTCCCTTCACCAGAAGACTCGCTATGTGGGGGCGTCGAAGGCACGCCTCGAGAGATGAAGACGGCCATGCGGTGGAATGACATATTTACCCTCATTCCATCTCAGAGACTGTTCAGCCATCGTGGTGGCACTGCCCGGAGGTGATGTCTACAACTTCTCAGTTCCTCTAAGCACTGATAGCAAATTTTCCTTCCACCCCAGCCTTCTGGGGCTGCGTGAGTTCAAGGTTTTAATTCCAAGTTATCATCAATTCGTGTTTTCAAAACCTAACAAACACCCCTTCATGTACGTAAATAAGTAACCTGATTTATCCAGTCGTCTCCTTAGAGGTAGCAAACTTCTTCAAAATGAAAATTTCAATTACTAGGGCGAATTTAAAAAGTCTAGACATATCCATTACCTGTAATCTGGGAGAAGGGGAATTTAAGCAGAAATCATGGTTGTAATGCGGCAAACCGCCCGGATGGTGGAAATGACTCCACCTCAGTAAGTTGAAACCCAAAGGCGCTGCGGAATGAGGGCACGGCAGGAAGTGGGGGCGGCCAGCGGGTCACATGAACACCGGATCGATAATGCGCCGTCTTTCAAAATCACCGCGATGCGAGGAGCCAGGAGGAGGCGGAGTTCTGCCCAACTCCAACGACTGCCACCTTCAGCTGTAAAACGTAGCGCTAAACGGATACACCATGTCTCTCGAAACTGTCCTGTTCATGGCAAGAAGGCGAAGGCCGCTGTGGCTGCTACGGCCAGAACAAAGCGTACACCTCCATCTTCGTCTTCCCATTCTACACCTTGCATGTTCACCAGAATCATGAATTTTATCGTCGCAAAGACTGTGGGCTATGGATCGCGAGGCTCTAACAGTTCAAACAGTGCTTTAATGACTTGGCAGAGGTTGGTCGGGTGTGCGGACTGCGACGGACGGACAAGACTGTCACAAAGAGCAAAGATGGAGATTGGATTCATCATCCATCACCTCAGACTGATTGCACAAGTGGAAGTATTGGAATCGAAGGAGAGGTGTTGCAGAAGGCCATAACTGCTTCTCTCACATTTGCCATTTTAGAGGTGGAGACTACTCTTTGAGGGTTCGCTTGTAGATATTCAGTAGTATATAAGTTGTAGTTGTTTCTAAGGCTTGAAATTGGACTTCTTTTTTCTCCTATCCTAACTCCATATCGCTAGTGCGTCTTAACTTAGCTGTTGAAATTGTTTACCACGCTGGCTTTAATCATCTGACTTGTTTCACACAAGGAATTTCGCCTGATGTTTGACTGACGTGCGTATTGTCAATCTTGACGTTAGTTTCCTCCTTTGAGGAAGCTACCTGTAACCCAAGAGTGCTTGAGATTAAATAGCCTTTGCTAACTGCCCCAAGACGATGGATACAGCTCTGGTGCGTGGAATGCGTGTAAAACCTCCTCGTCGAGGACGGCAAAACATGCGAATTTATGGGAAATGAAATACTCAACGCGGCAATTTCACTTCGCCTTGGGGTACCTAGAAGGCGCATTTTTGCCATTCACAGGGTCTCAGTGGTTAGGAGGGTTGAGATATTCCCACAACTCACTGAGAACTTGGAAATTGCAGTCGATGGTTTAATTATTGGTATTATTATTATTATTATTAGGGTGATTACAGAGGTCTCACAAGGGATTCGCGCGGAGCTACTGTGAGACCGCAGGGGAGCAATTCCACGAGAAAATGGAGCTTTTCACTTCGTTTCTAGCGTGTTTCATGGGGAGGTGCATCCAAATTATTGCTCCTGGAAAGGGGTCCCTTTGTTTGAAATTTCTTAGAGGACTGTGCTGCCAAAACCGCCTTATTTTGAGCTCTGAAGGGTGATAAAAAAATTCGACTATTTTAATATTAAACTACTTGATGAAGATGCGGTTGGCTAAGTGAGGTGCAGAGCCTTTAAAATCGAACCTTCAACTGGAATTGATGGTTATTTAATACGTTGGTTACCGGCGTCACACATATGTGACGGAATGATTTACTTGCTTCGTATTTAAATAATGCTCTTGCCTAAAAGGGAATGAGGCAGCTTGAATGATAAGATCAGCGACACTAGCAACTGCCACTACATCTGAACTGAGAAGACCACTTGTCAACCGACGATGTGCCAACGAACCCGGTGCTCGTTGGATTATAGAAGGGCTGCAAAGATGATGAAGTAGGTATAGGTAAAACAAACTGGACTATTTAACTCTGAAGTGAAAAAGCCTGGTCAATACGACGGGAGAAGAAGTACACTTAGCCAACTGACTCCACCAGGGTCACCATTTGTACGTCCCCCATCACCTTGTCGGTGTCACCGATGTCCACAATAGCGCGCAGCGGCGGAACCAATCCAAGGAGATACCGCTTCCTGATGATGCAGTTCTGTGTCTACGAGGCGAAAGAGCGACGCCCAGCAAAATCCTATCCCACCCTCTTCTACTTCTGCTTAACCATACACCACCAGTAGAAGCCGTGGAACGGTTCCAAAACGACCACGGAATTATGCGATTCGGTGACCCTCACCAAGTCTATCGTCACCATCATTCATCCGTTCGTTTGGCTAGGAGCAGGGGGCACAGCTGCCTCGGGTGGAACGACAGAGGCTACCTCAAGCAAGCAGTCTCTTCTTCTATGGTGTGTTATCTCCATTTAACTAGAAAGACTCTTCCCTAACTAAAAAGAACTCCTTCACTACGGATAGCGCAACCAAGATGCTGAACGGTTCCAAGCGGCATTTGTGATGCTGTGAGTTGAAGGCCTTCATCAACTACGCAAACCATGAACCCAGTAGGATGGACAGTCTGTAAAAGATTACACCGACTCGACGACCTCTCCACATGTGGCAAAAGGGGTGGATTCTTCAACCAGTTGCATTGGGAAGAAGAGATCCCACCGAGTGTTGCAACGCAGTTTCTTCCCTCTCAGAGGTGCCACATTCAATTGACGTGTCAGTTCTAACAAAAGCGACACTGGTCCTGGTGGAAGAGAGGCTATTTCACGGACATTGGCGTTTGTGGAGAAGGCCCTTCAAATTCGCCAGATCTACAGTCTTCCACTGCAGCCCCTACGACTACTTCGATTGCTTAGGCCAGGACCTTGTCCCCGAAGATGTGGAGATCAGATTTTCCTACGGATCCTCGGCTCTTATGTAAAGAGCATTCTACACGTCAGGAACCCCCCCTTCAGAAGGAGAAAAAGTCAAGGACAACGCGGGTGGTTCACTCACTTCAGGCTGCCGAAGGCGTCTACAAATGTGTTGGCCAACTCAGTGATCGCGAACTAGCCTACAAGTATGGACAAGGCATCCTACTGCCATCAACTTCAGCAGGCCACAACCAAAGTCAAGCAGGCCGTTTGGAAGGAATGATGTCCAACTAAACTACGTTGTGAATCGTCCATGACTCGGCCTCTTCAACAGGCTTCCCACTCTCCTGTGCGTTTATGACGAAGCTACCTTCCACCTCAAGGATAACTGAAAAGTTGACGGATCTACTCCATAGAAAAATGCCACCTACTGTGGATGGTTGAGTTTGACAGGCAGTGATAATGCTGAACCGCCTGAATCTACGCAAACATTTCTACACTAATCCATTGACATTCTAGCTGTACTCACTGTAAAACCTCCAATCCGGCAGACATTTTGAATCAGTAATTGGCTGTTCAATCGAGAAATGAACTTCCTATTAGTTTACATCCAAAGTTGCTCAGTTAGAAAAAAATACAAAAATTTCGCTTATCAAAGATCAACGTCAGCTGGAGACAAGTTTTTAACCTAATTAATGTCTGTCAAAACACACGGATTTTTTTATCACCGTCATCGTGTAAAGAAGAGCATATTTTGACCCTGCTGACGTTAATGAAGTCACATCTTCTTCAACTCCAGGCAGCTGACGTCGAGGTTCTTGTTGACCTTTTGAAGCAGCTCCGTATTTGATTGGACATCCGAGTGACCTTGAGGGTGGTCGTAACCGTCCAATGGGAGGAGGAGACTGTTCTGTTCGAATAGGGGACCAAACTAGACAAGGAAATAGAAAAAGGGTGGGTAACAAATTTGGGGGGGAGTAGATTTGAGGAAACAATGAGCGTCACTACCGCAAAATGTGTCAAAATCTTACAGAGGAAAAGGCGTTAGTAAGGGATAGTTTGAAGACTTCCTTCGATCTCGGATCTCCTATGGCAATTTGGAGTTCTTCCATCCGCTCGTAGACGCTTTTAGCCACCTTTATGAAATACATCATTTCGTACACATCCTAAAATAAGATTTAAAGCTGATACAACTGGTCATTTTTTTATTTTAAATTAATTTTTGATTTTGGATAACAAATGACCTGGATTAGTATTGTTAGGCAAGCAAATTACTGCAGAGATGGCTGAACTACCCCTTAACCCATTTTCGGGCTAAAACTTACACCACTTATTAGAACCCTCGGAATCTGCCGAAGGAGGTACTTCAGGGAGTTGGAAATTTTAATTCGTCGGTCCACGAGCGAGCCAATGAAGGAGGTGCATACGGAAGCAGTGCCTCGATAGACGTCTAGGGCGCGATCCAGCGCTATGTTGCTGGCTATAATAAGGTCTAACATAGATTTGTCGATCTCCAGCACTAGACGGTGACGTGTCTGATTCTGACTGTTGGTGGCTACTAGCTTACGAAGGCTCTCCAAGCGATTTCTCACATTTTCGGCATGCTGAAGTGGATGGAAAGAAGGACAAACATGGAAAACGTCAATGAAAAATTGGGAATTCGGAATCTGGTGTTTTGACTTCAAAGGAATCGCATTCGTGCTGATGCAACACCTTCCTGAACATGTTTTAAGAACTTGTAAGTAAGTGTCCTTACTTACGGTATCAAAGTGAAGGCGAAAACAGACGTCGCATAGAGCGAGACCGCAGAATTCGCATTTGGAGGTCTGTGCATCGATGTCGCAGCACATCTTGCAGTGGTGCGCCTCCATTTGTGAGTAAAGAGTGGATCTTTGACATCTTAACTTCGCCACCACCAATTCTCTCGTCAACTTGTCTTCATCTGCCTCGTCAATTTCTGAATCGGCTTTTGCAACTTCGAAGGCGCTGGAGTGAAAGTAAAGGCAGGTCAGGCAAAAGTACAACTTCAGTCAACGTTGAAGGTATATATCAGGCCTTGGGGACGTGGAAGGTAAGAGTGAGATCGATGGTGTATCTTTCAGTAAACTTTTACTTCTTCCCTTGCGGATTGCAATGGCAGTAGGCTTACACGATCGCCCTTTATAAGCCCATTTGTTCCACTGGGCGCGTCGTTGAGAGCTTTAGTTTCTTGAACCGGACAATGCACTGTGAATGTCTGAACCTGCGGAAATCCACGGCTGAAGAAAGATGGAAATTGCATGCACTTCTGCTAAATGAGTCAAAAGTTGAGTATCAAAGGGCGGCTTCCTGGAAATAAGAGTGGCCCTTCTCCGCATTAGAGAAGGCGTGATGGCGCATTATTCAAGTCACACATCAGGTCAGCATTCCTTGGGTGTTGAAGGGAAGGTGATAGTCAAATCTACAAACTAGATTTTAGCTAAGAATCTCAAATGCGCTCCTCTTTGAACCTGCATTGAAGTCGCCACAATGCTGTCTACTTAAGAGGTGGATAATTATCCATGGCTGCTTCCATCTGTATGTGGACATCCTGGAGGCGTGTTGGATGTCAACCCGCCTTCCATACGTCAACATACACTTGCATCTGAGTGACGTGACTGACAACAGATGAGTCTCGTGGCATTGCAAGAGAAGCTATAGCTGTGTAGACGCCTCCTGACGCGGAATAGCATTCATCACAGGTGTCGAGGAAGCGCCCAATGGGAAGGCGAGCTGCAGAAAATCATAAATGCTCCTTTTGTCATGCGAGACCACCATCACAACGTCGTCGTCGTCATTATCAGCTCCTTCTATATCGTCATCCTTTCTCGTGGTCGACTTCAATTCACTTCAAGTCGATGCGGTTGCAGTGGCGGTGATAGCGCGTTCGGTGATTACGAGACGGTGCTTCCATTAGCCATTGATGGTGTTTCAAGCCTCACCTCACCCATTCCACCCCAACCCACTGCCTGCTCCTCATAGCCCTCCTCCTCAGCTCTTTTGTTGCCTCACCAAATTGTGGGCCTCAATGGAGTAGACGAGGGACAACAGTGCATGCCATCGGCATCGACGAGTCCCCAGACCTACGTGAATGTTCTCATCCCACACACAGACCCTTCAAGGGCAGTAAAGATCCTCCTACAAGTGCCACGCGGTAATCCCATCACCCTCGTTTGCATGACAGACTCGCGTTTGAGTGCGCTAGAAGTGTTCGAGAAGTGAGTTGGCACGACGGTGCTTCAGAGCAGAGGGGGACAAGTGAAGGTACTCACGTGTTCTTGGTGGGTTCGCATGCAGCGTCGTCGATGTCGGAGGTGGAGATGCCCAAATCTGTGGACGTGTCACTGGATTGCTGCAAAGAGGAAAGAATGCGTACGAAGGCGTGAACACAACATTCATGGCTTGTCACCTGTTGGCGATGATGTGAAAAGACAGTGGGCTTGGCTACCTGAACGAGACGTGTTTGACGTCGTCTGCATTGCCTGCATTCCTGGTTGCATGAGGTGGTGATGGAATCCTCCTGTAGTGGCTTCGACCTTTCCTCGGCTGCTCGCCTCCACTTGTTCGTCATTCGCCTACAGAAGGCAGGTGGTGGTGGTGAAGGGAGAGAGAGAGTGACAGGTGACTCGTCAACTGACAACTGCTTTTTATCCCCTCGACTAGAGTTGTGGATGATTGAGACGCTTGGTGAGCACAACAACGAGGAGGCGAAGGACTGCCTGATGCAATGCACCTGATGATAAAGTGGCAGCTCGACAATTTGAGGTGAGAGGTGAGGTGCCACTTCTTTGCGTCGCGACCACACTGCCACCAGACCTTCCTCCAGTCCCCCGTGGTGCTCCCCTCGCCGCTGAATAGGCTCGTACGCCAAATAAGGCACAGATTCTCACCACAATGGAGGCATTCGAAGAACTTTTATTAGCTCTCCGCTCACGTGAGTTTTTTTTTCTTTCACAATTTTCCCCCCTTAGCCCCCTGTTAGGGGAAATTAAAACAGGACTGGCATTCGCTAATGTGCAGACACCGGAAAAGAAAATAAAAATGAGGAGGAGACAATTAATTTTTAATTTTGGAAGGCTGGAAAACCAATCTCTACTTCTTAAGCCTCGATATTGCTGAAATTGCCTTCTCAAATTCTTCAACCTCGACTAATTTAAAACGCTAACGTTGCTGCTTCCCACACATGACTTCCCACTCCCATTAACAAAATTGTTTGTGGCTTTTGGTATGTAAGTTATTTGCCGACGCACCTTCGGCTATGACCCAATTTGCGACGATAATCCACGGGTTCGTCGACGTCGGAAATGCCAGATGACGACAACTAAAGCGGTGAAAAGATGTTTATCCACTACCTCTGTCTGGACGTTGACCTCAACCATTGAGAGATGACAGATTTACCGATGAGTCGATTGCGCGTCTGTACGGTCGTCGAGTTACCTTCTTGAAGCATCGGTGGGACCACTCGTCGTCTGAAGACGTTCTCTCACCGTTCACCTCGGAAGTGTCGCCAGAAATGCTGGAAGGGCTCCTGAAATGGATGGAGGAGCATCTTTAACTAAGCCGCTGACGCAATTGACGACGTGAAATTGTGCGAGAGGGAGCGCTTCACTTACGTGTTGAAGAAGTCCCGTGCGTCTCTATCCTTGTCGTCGGAGTGAATGATGTCGGAGACATCAGATATCTTTCGTCGACGTGTTGGCAACTGGAAAAGTAATTTAAACAATTTTTGTTCTGAAACCATCGAGTCTACTTGGACCTCGACACACCTCCTTTCTCCCGTTCTTCAATCTGAATGGTAGACTGGGTGAAACGATTAGCTCCATGACCACCAACAGATGGTTTGACGTCAAAAGCTTTGTTTTGATAGAGTTCGACAGACAACAACACCGTGGTGACCCGCTCAATTAACTGGATACGCAAGGAAAAAGCCTCAAGGCCTGCGCCTCAAGGAAGGCACATCGACTACTCTCCCCAGGCCGGGTGACAACTCACCACGATTGCATGCCGTCTACGAGGGCTGCGTCGGGCTGGAAAGCTCTTATTTATTTGAACGCTCGTATCACAACTCCTCGCCGCCTCGTCACGTCCATATTTCTCCCTGTGGTGTTGCGTGGGCGACATCTCCTTGCCGCCACATTCCACATCAGAAAGACTCTGGAAGCTGTGGAGGGAAGAGGAAATGAAGTTGGGGGAGGGAGGCGGGTACTGGGGGGGGGGGGGCAGTCGGGTTTATCAGTAGGTGTCATAAATCTTGCCACTGCAGTACTCCTTCTTGCTCTACCACGTGATGCTCAATCGTCATCGCCTTGAGATACTTGTCAGTTCTTGTGGCAGAGGCTGTTCACTTTCTCTTCATCTAAGTGTGTGCATGTGTTTTTTAACCCCACTTGATGATGACAGGGTGCTCTCTCATTGACGTATTCAGCCGACATCGTAAATATTGGCTGGACTGTCGCTTCCACTGCGGTACTTCCACCTCCACCACTGACGTCAATCTCGCGGTGTCACGCAAAGGCATCGCCTGAGGGTCACATGGACGACATCGACACTGTCGAGTGGATGAGCGGAGACCAACTTTGGGCACCTCGGGATAGCAGTGGGATGGAAACCCAACGAGATCTGACTCGTCAGGTTTAAGATTAAGGCCGCGACGCCTCGAAAGGCACGTTGATGGAAGGTTTGAGAGAGCGTGAATGAATGTTTTCTAACCTTGAGGCTGAGAGGCCTGATCTGCGAATGGAGCAGCGAGGAGAGACACCTCCCCAAGGGCCACGCGCTTGGGAAGGTGACTGGAACACCATCCCCAGCGCTAACTTGTGTCGCTTGAACGATGTGAAGGCGTGACAAGCTCTCTCTCTCTCTCTCTCTCTCTACCTCGGAGGCCCGAGGTGAGAATAAAGTGGCGGTGGAAGAAAGCGACACGTGAATCCACTCATTGCCATCTACACAAGAGCTTAACTTCACTTTGATCAATAATTTGACACTATGGCAGGGAATGAAATCTGACAGTCGGTCTTGTTGCACTGCAAATTCCCTCGTGTAGGAGGGATTCGGTGCCTTTTGAGAACCTCATTGCGATGTCTATGACCTTAGTTAGTGACTGGTATTGTAGTATTTAAAAAAATTCTTTTTTGCCACAATTTTTACAGCAGAAGAAGCATTTGGAGTCGCCACAATTATTGATTTTGGATAAGGAAGCGCAATGTGAAACTTACGTCTGCAATGTGCCCGTGACTTCGTCCACGTCGGAGTAGCTGGGTGCCATGTTGGAGAAGGTAGGAGGCAGGGCGGGGTGTTATTATTGACACACCCGGGTACTGGCAGTGGTGGAGCTAATGCAGACAAGCAGATGGGAGTTAATGACAAAGGTATGATGAAAGCGACTTCTTAGCTTTGACGGATCGACGCATCACAGCGAATCACTGACGAGAGGCTGGCAATCGAACAACTGCCTTCGAGCGATAATTGGTGAAGGCGATGCCGCCACCCTATTGGGTAGATCTTAACCAATCCCATGCACCACATCGCCTTTAAGCTTATTTTGGTTGGTTTATTTTCTTGTTTGGTTTATTAAAAAAAGTNTTTACAATGATTGGATAAGATGAAATTTTATAGAAGAGGACTTGGTTAAGGTGAATTACGATAGGTAACAAGTAATCATGGTAGAATCTCTTCACAGGTGAAGCATCACGTTGGCAGTATTCCGGAAGTCCGAGTCAAGCTTACCTGAACAAAGACAAGTAAGCAAACAATGACAACTAATTAACGATCATTTAGACAAATAGCGTCCTATTTACCACAGTAAATAGGTTAGGTTCAATTGTTCAATGAAATCTTAAGACGAGATGAGCCAAAATAGGCACTCCACAGTAGTTTTAGAGGCGACAAGCACCTTCAGACTTGATATGAAATCCATGTTCAAGAGTAGCTGGCTAGGTGGGTAGCTAATATAAGTACCAAGTACCGATGATTGTTAGGCCCCTCGAATGACTGCAGCATTTAAGAGCGCCAACGAAAATGCAACTGTTTCGGTACCGTTTTGCACATTTGCTTGCTGTCAGTTTAAGTGACGTAGGAAAGTAAAGGTGAAGAAGAAATCGTGAGCCGCTTTAGCGCAACAGGCATTGCGTGTACTTTCATGAATGAAGTGGACAAAAGGACGAAAGAAATGCAGTACAGTTAAGGCCAAGATTAAGGGGTTGTTCAAGTGGCAACTTTTTAGGCAGTAGAGCATGTATTCCATTACTCACTTGTGCATATCAGGGTATGAAACACGCTCACGTTTACAAATTGGACCAAAATCCCCCCCCTCCCCGCTGTAAAAATGCTAAATCACGCAAGAAAACCCCAAAAATGGGCACTAGTAGATACACATAAATCAGTTTTAGATTCCACGTTTTAATTTGGGACGTTACAATTTAAAACTTGTTACCAAAATCTAGCAGGAGATTATCATAGAAAAAGCAGCAAAACCATCAGACGACAGCACCTTATTAATGTAGCGTGTAGCACGCAATTAAAAAGCTTCGCACAGTAAAATCATTTAGGCATCCTCAGCTTTCATTTTGCCTGACGAAGTAACCATCCCGTGGTGCCTTGAGCTCACTATTAACTCATCACTCCGATTTGACATGCCTTATGGCGATTTTACACCATAGCTATACTATTTAACCACCGAGCGGCTAAAAATCGACCACATTGTTTTTCTCACTAGTAAGGTTGAACACTGAGAAGACTTTTTATTTAAGAAAAAAACCGTTAGAGTAGGTGTATAATCCAGAAACAGTAAATTTTCATGCTTTTCTTATAAAAACCAAAATGAGAACATTGAATTAATGTGGTCCACCATTACATTGTAAATTTGTTAAAGAGTTCGTGGATCTTACTGTCCTTATTAAACAAACCAGTGCTCCTCATAATCAATGCTTATTTCTGATGCAAAAAGTCTCTCCTTATTTCTAAAAATACCTTGCTAGTAGCGAAAATCTAGAAATTGTTAAAAAGTACAGAATAAGATACGTCTACCTGAGTAACCAGATGAAATTTTCGAAATACACTACCCATAATCCTATGAAGCCCAAAAGCAGTTCCAATTCAAATATAAAACCAAAACATTTTAACGTACCTTTAGACAAAACTGCCTTTTATTATTAACCTTGGCCCTTCGGTTAAAATTCTGTGTTTGTTTTTAATTGATCAAATTTAGTCCCCTACAAATTTGTTGATTCGGTGTTAGAATTGGATTGGTTCTCCACGTCTTGCCGCATTGTGCTTTGGTGTGTTACGTTCGCCTTTCTGTTTCATCATGTTCGTTCCATTAATCTCTCATAATTTATGCTAATCCAGCAGTATTTTGACAAAATTGGAAACAGAACCTTTTTTTCACAGTCTAATTTTTCGGTGCTGGTTTTGTTCCGGCAATTCGCTAGACTATTTGATCGAGCTTCCATATTCCACATAAAACCAAAGTGTTCTGCGAGTGTGACTTTAAGCAGTAGCGAGTGTTCGCGAGTTTCCCACTCTTACTGCAACTAACTTTTGAGTTAACTTCATTTTTTACATCAAGAGCGGTAGAAAGTATGACATTAATTTAAGTAGCTTGGGACTTACGGTCTTGTTGCTCTTGTAGAAATGGCCACAGTTTGGTACTTCATCATCCTCCTTGCAGCGTTAGTTATCGCTGCTCCAAATTCAAACTCATCACCTGCTCTCCCTATTGGCGCCCTGGACGCACAGGACGTGGCGCACTTCTTAGGCGTATTCAGTGATTTCAACAAAGACAGCATAAAGGATGCTCATTACGCTTACATTGGCAATTCGGTTTTCAATCGGAATACCCTTGACGGCTTGTCCTGCGATCACTTGAAGTCCCATTTTGACTCCTCTGATGCAGAGATGCAATACTACGCTCTTTCTGCTGCCAGGGGAGTCAAATCCTGTACTGTGAGTTTCTTAATTTTCCACTGAGGTTTCTTTTTTTCTCTTAGCTTAATCTTCATTTCTCCTCCTTAGCCCAAGGTTTCACAACCACACCAGCTGAAGGACGCCTTGAAGCAGGAAAAATTAACAGTGGATCAACTGTATTACCTTGTCTCTAGTGCAAATATTGCTCTAGTCAGTATTGACAAGGCGGTTGTGCTGAAACTGCTCACTGCCTTCGCTGCCAGAGAAACTGGACCATCTGGGTAGGTGTCTACTTATCTTTTTGTGAGTAGCGATTGCTCTTCAGGCTCTCCGCCATACTTGCCACCGCGGCTATCGTCAAAGGTGCAAAACCCAAAGAGCTGGAACCATTTTCTCTCGTAGTTCCAAAACTTGTTGAACAAGCCGATGAAGCTGATGGCACTATTCTTTTCGTAGGCCTCATTTCCTACTTAATTTTGCATTTTCTAGTTTGAAAGGGGTGCTTATACAACGGCCTTCGCGGTGGAAAGTATATTCAGTTTTGCGGCGGCTCTAAAGGAGGCACCCGCTTTAACTGATGTAAGACATGAGTAACCGTTTTAGGACAGTCTGCTTCACGTCTCATTTAATGTGTTGTTTCTTATTTCATACAGCAACAGGTTATAAAATTCGGGAATTTTTTGTATGAAAGACGTCGCGCCCATCAGATTCGCACAGCAGCTCGTGTTGCGTCTGCTTTTAAAGTTTTGACGACGAATCCCTTTGTGGTGAGTACATTTTACCATGCTTTCTGACTACAAACTAGGATGTCTGGTTTTCAGTCGTGTTATTCGGCTAAGATGTATCCACAATATGTGCTTCAGTATGTACCCGAGTATCAAATTTCACATGGTCTGAAACAGTCGAGCTGAGGGCAGATTGTGACTCCATTTGTAATGAATCACGAGTTATTTTCACATGTTTGATTGTCCGATAGACTCCAGTGGTTGTGTATGGGGCAACAGCTAGTGAACGAGCTGGAGTCTCAGAAATCCTCGTGACATCCTCGCGTCGTCTGCATCTGCGCCTTTTTGACCTTCTTGGCGCACGATTGGATGCTACAATGCGGGTTGAAGCGGGTGCTCTTTACTCCAACAACGAAACTGCTTCCAATGCATCCATTGGTCCATCTAACCTGGGAGAGATCAAACGAGACAGTTCAATGTGAGTTCTGCATCTAGTACTGTCAAGGGAATGGTAGAGGTCTTTTTTTTAAAGTTGAATTTAAAAGTGTAATCTTTCCTTTAGTGACGCTTTTGAGTTAGATTTGGATGCGAAAGTGGGGGCTATTCCGCGCGGCCGTTATGCATTGGAAATAACCGCAACTCCGACACAAAAGAATGCTTCAAAGGCGCTTCTAGCTGGAGTCGTGAAGTCGAGGGTGAGTTTTAGGCTCTAATTGTACTCGTAAAAGGGGACTTATGGGCTCATAAGAAAACGCGCAAGAATCGGGGAATACTTGCTTGTCGGCCTTGCCCTCTCTTGCATTCATTTATCTGTGTCAGGAGTAAATTAAGTATAGAGAAGCGACTTTGGCATCCGAAGACAGCTTGTTGCAAATCACCAGTGCTGAAATGCCACCGTACTGCTTTAAGGCTACTTTAGGCTCTGGAATGAAGTAAATCACGGTCTTTTTCATCAAAAAGCATCATTAACTTCAGTAGTTTTGGCACCCGACGTGCGTCAAATTGTCGAATTCGCGCACGTTCGTACATGATTCTTGTGTTCACCGTTTCCATGGAAGAATTCATCTTCTGTACACTTCTACGAATGGTTGTGTTAGTTCTACATCCACGATCAAGCGGGTTGACTGAGTGACCGTGGTAACGATTGTAGCACTGTACAATCGTAATTATCGTTCAAACTATTTAAAGGCCTAACTTCTAAGTGGTTGAGTGGCTCATTATCCTGCCCGTAAAGTGCTGAAAGTCTTCTCTACACCTAAGTGGTTCGGGTTCTACGTACTCATTACCATTCTTGCCTGCTGTCTTAGTTAACGGTGCGTAGATTAGACTGGCCCAGGGAAGGTACATGCACCGGCCGCCAGTATAAACACCCTGTTTGATTTAAACCCTCTCGCATTACCATATTTGCCATTGTTCTTCGCGTTATTTTCCAGATCCCGCTGCGTGTGGTATCTCCCTTGAAGGTGGAAAAGGCCCACATTAAGCTGTCCGATTCAACAAAAAGCCTTGTTGATAGTCCGTAAGTTGAAGTGTCTATTTTTTTTGTATCCAAAGTCTCTGTTTTGTCACCCTTGTGTGTGGCACAAAGACAGTGATTTTTTTTCCACTGAATTTTGTCAACGCTCTCACGATAGGTAAGGAGAGAGAACTGCTTTGTTAATCGAGCTAATAGCCAAGGCGACCGACTCCGCAGGACAGTCTCATTGTTCGCACCCCATGCTTACATTTAATGGTGTAAATCACCACCCATCTTGACTACCCTTCCCTCTCCGTCGTGCCTCAGTTACTTCATGCAAAATTCCACATAAATAATGCAAACCCCTTTCCTGAAAGCAGACATACTGTAGAATTGGTAAATTTGGCACAGGCAGTTTAGAACCCTCTTGATGACTTCCAACACCTGGGTCTTCCTTCTAGCCTTGTATTCCCTGGCAGCCGCTACTCAGAAGTGCTTCAGCTTCACCACGGCTCTCGTCTCCGTCTCACTTTCCTTCTTGAAGATGTTGTTGCCGGGACAACAACAACCCCACCACCGCCACCACCTCAACAAGTCTTCATCCAACTAACTCACAGTACCACTCATCAGTCTGTCACGTACATCGCAAAACGATCGACCGTTGATGGGACCTATGCTTTCACTTTGGTGAGTTACGTTGGGTGACTTTCTTCTAGTGCTGAGACTGCCATAAGGGGTCTCGTTAACTTTCCACTCATCGGAGGGGGAGGTTGTTCATCCTCTCTGATGTAAAGACAAGGCCTTCAAGTTTATTGATTCTTTTTCTGCTTTCCCTTCGCCAGAGTTTGGATGCAGCTGTCGAGGACTTCGATCGTGTCTCCGGAGTGTACACGATGGAGGTGCTTATTGGGGATTCTCTAGTGGAGTCACCTATTGTCTGGCATGTGGTAAGTGTCGCCTTGAAGTTTTTCCCTGCTCCTAATGGAAGGGGTGGATGCATTCAGCATGAAGAGATACGTGTCTGAGTAGATCCAAAATAGTCTCATGAACTGATGGATGGATGGGAGGGTAGATATGCATATGAAGGTGTCTGGATAGAATAGATGGTTGGTTGACGGTGTGATAGCCAAGCAGATGAATTGTTATTCCCTTCTTATTTTGATTGCCCACTAGGCCGACGTCGACCTGCACTTCCCGTCGAACGAGGACTACCTTGTCTCCTCGTCCCAGCCGGCCTCCGAAGACGTTGCCCGTCTAACCGTGGCCTCGACCTCGGGTCGCAAACGTGCCGTCCATCCCCTCATCGGCGACCTTCCCAGCACTTCCAAGCCCCTGCTGGAACACACCTTCCGCACTCCAGAGCCTCGTCCCTCCGACTTGGTTGCATTCACCTTCACCGCGCTCTGCTGTGCTCCCCTCCTCATCCTCATTGTCGCTGTAGGTTGGGGCTCTCGAAATTCTGTCAAAGTGGTGTTGAAGGCTCATCTCTTAGGGTTTTTACCAATTAACCAAACTTCCCTCATCGTTTTGAGATTTTCCCGCCTTCCAGTTTAATTTCCCTGAAGGCGTGGTTCCAGAGTCCATAGGGCGTACCTCTTGAGGAGGTTTGCTATTGGCATTTGGGGGAGAGGGGTTCCAAAGCGCCATCACCTATGCTCCCTGTGGTCACTCTTCCGCTTCCACTGTTACAAGCAGTCACTTGCTATCATTGCGAGACGCGATAGCGTTTGACCTCAATGACAGTGACGCGTCTGCGCCATTGCATTGGATTCAACGCTTTGCCTTTTAAAGAATTCATTGCCGGAATTTTGTAGCCAATGCATTCCACACACCATTTTCTGTCCATAGAGCTGTTTGTCCGAAAGTAGATCGGATTTACAGTAGGCCCACAGTGGCTGGGATGATGGAAAGGCAGCAACCACTTCCAGACTTTGTATCCCCGGTGCCACATCCCAATTTATTTGCGTGTTCTTCTTTTCACACTTGACTGCGTTTGTTTGTGCACGCGAGGTGGTTCACACACCCGCTGACATGTGAATTACGGAGTCGACGGGTCACTACCACAAATGGCTTGGAAATGGATCCTAAAATGTGTTCGTTTTAAGTGGCGTAAGCGCTAGCTCATCTCTCAGGAAAGGCGGGCATTTGACACGTAGCTTTGGGCGGACAAGGCCTCTTTCGACTCCCTTGGAACGGGGTTTTTCGAAAACTAGGTCCGGAATTCTCAACTTCATCAGGGCAACTAGGAAGGGGGACATCCCCGTTGTATGTCCTCAAGTCAAACTTGGAAGACCTTGGAGCCTCAGGAGATTAGGAACTACTACGCCTGGTCTCCTGATGGATCCTTCACTGTGAGGTAGAGACGGGAGTTTTAAAGGCCTAGTTACTGAGGTATCACGGAATCTTGAACCGGAAAATTTATTGCCCCATTGCTGTAAGTGGGGAGGGGGAGCTTCTAGATGCTGGAAGGCGGTGTCACCATGGTGCTAATGTAAGCGGTATTAAGTGGGGGTCTGTCACGCCCTCCCACGTATCAAATGGTAGAAATGAGCGAAATGCCTTGCCGATGAAAGCGTAAAGCTCCAAGCCGTGGATGTCTGCTCGCGTCTGTGGAGTGGTCCTAAAGGCGACCTCACGGGCGTGGTTGTTTATGCCCCGTCCACAGCACCACAGTCAGCCCCGTGAGCAGTCAGTCGCCTGATCTTGGATGTGTAACCCCTTCTGAGGGATTTGGTGTGCACTGCATGCCCAAGGAATGTTTCTATTCCGGAATGGCTAATCCTTCAGTACCAATGTGACTGGAATGAGTCGAGGAATACGCAAGTGGAGACAGATGCAGTTCTCTCACCCCTCAATTCCCTCCTTTTTCTACTTTTGGAGTGCTCGACCTTGTAAACGTCCCACGTCCACCTCAGTAAATCCAACTTCCACATTGATGGTCTTGAGTCTAATCAAGCGTCCCTGATGAATGAAAACTCCCACTCGCCTAGCTCCGCCTAATCCTTCTTTTGTACCCTTCAATTCTCTAGTGGCCGCTGATGGGAGCCAATCTCTACAACTTCCCCCTCACTTTATCGGCTCCGCTCTTCCACCTCGGTCTTGGAGGTAAGTTGCTACTAACCTCCAGTTGTGAGTAGTATCTCCTTGACTCCAATAGAGTCCGCCAGCACCGTCACCCCTTGCCTCTCCACCTGTAGGCATCTTTGGACTCTACCTGCTCTACTGGTTCAAATTGGACATGTTTACCACTCTGCGTTACCTCTTCTTCCTTGGCATCTTCACCTTTGTCACAGGCAACCGTCTTCTGCGCCACCTAGTCACTGAGCGACGCAAATCCCAGAACTAGTTCCCTCCGCTCACCATGGTGATGATAAGACGTTTTTGAACGCACTTTTTGTAATGTCGGTGACAGCAATAATTGCAGCTCCCTTCCTGTAGGTTGTCCGAGTTTGCTTTTATTTTATGAAGAAATCGTGATGAGGGGAGGGGGGAGGGGTAAAAAGGAGGCATAATCGGTGTAAAAATGTTTTATTGAATGACCGCTTCCACGATCCAATGAGGAGGGGAGGAGGAGGGGGAGGAGTACGGAAGGAAGGAAGGTAGGAGTCATTCTACAACAAAAAAAGACGATTCGAATGTGCTCCTGAGGTGCTGAAATGGACAGTTGATGAAGGGGATGACTTACACGACCACAATCGACGCAGAACGAAGGCTATTGCACAGGCAAATCCCACAGGCCCGAGCAGGAAAACGGAGAAGCCGAAGAGGAGGTGGGCCAATTGGAAGGACTTTCCAGTCTGGACGAAAGCCTCCAGACCCTCCTGGAGGAAAAAGAAGACGATGGAGAGATGGCTCTCGACTAGAACCGGCTCCCCGAAACTTTCACTGTCTCACAACGGCAACGCACAGCTCTACCCATTCCACTAGTCCATCGACATTTCAGCAGTGTGTCGACATTTAAAGCTACTACTCCAGGATTGTCTGTCTGCTTAGGAAATACTCCTCTCTCTCCGTTTCAACAATTACTCATTCATCACGGGACCTCCACGACTAACCCAGTTCTCACCCTCATAATCTGCTCAAGGCCATCTCAGGTGCTACATTGGTGGCAGGAGTGAGGGTGATCCGACCCACATAAACAAAAAGGCGACATCTACCGCGGGTGGCTGAATCAACGGACACCTGCAGCAGGCCGGGCTGGAGGGGGGAGCGAGTGTTCTACCAACGTGATCTAACTTCTGCGGTCACGTGAACCAGTATAGCTAAAAAATGGACACGGGGACTACGGCCATCAGGAGAGCAGCTACGGCGTTGTCCGGCGTAGGCCACAACATCGCAGGGTGAAAACCAGACACCGCCCAGAGGGAAAGGCGGAAGAAAACTAACGAGCTTCAACCCACCCAACTACCATGCTCCTCAATCCAGTCACCCAACTTTGACTCCTTGTGGATGAACTCCGTTGTCCACACGATGTAGTGCAACGAGGCTATCCTCCGATCCTTCATTTCCGTCGTCAATTTTTTGTTGCTGTCATCGTCGTTGTCGTTGCCGTTCTTTGCAGAGCCGTCTACACATTGCTTCACCACCGGTGTGAAATCTGTCTTGTCCAAGGGTGGTGGCGAATGCACCTCGTTCTCATCCTCGTCGGACGAAGACTACAACAAGATGAGACAGGGGTGAGTCCTTCAATCCACGCACGGTGAACAGGAAAAAGGCGGAGGAGGCTGTGCTAACCTGCGATTGAGTTGAAGCTTCGAGGACTTCACAGAGAGCGCGAAGGAAACTCATCATTGCCACAATTCGGCCCCAGTTGATTTGTTGGACGAAAAGACTGTGCAGAATCCTGATGTACCGGTCTCTCGCATTCATGAATGGCAAACAGTACTGAGCCTGCAGATGACAAGTGTGGACGTGTTTACTACAAACGAAGGTCAGTAACTTCGGTATTACCCTCTGACACAACTCACGGAATGGGGTGGAGATGGATCAAGCTCTGCTTCATCCGAGGAGGAGGGGGTAGTGGTGGTGGAATTGGAAGCAGTCGAATTGTAGACAAGCAGCGCGTCTGTCACCAGACTCTTGTAGCCCTCTGCGTACCGCGACTCGAAGGTGTTCACCAAATCCACCGCCACTGCTTTGGTGGTGTTACTGATGTTCTCCGGCAACCAACTTTCAGGACGAGGCTCCGTCTGTGTGAATAAATGGATACGGAATAACTAGGCGGGGGAGAGAGATGAATGAGATCGGGGTAGGTGTGCGATTTCGCATGCTAAATGGGTTGATGGACGGAGTGGTGGACAGAAATGAGTGACCCAATTGAAATTTAAGACCCCCACAAGCAGGATCTGCATTCTGGTAACGCTGGCATCGCAAGAAACGCCATAATTACTGACCCGGGCTGAGGGCACTTGGCTGGGCAGGGCAGATCGCCCTGGTAACACTAGCACCGGGTGACAAGCAGGCGAAGGAAAGGCCGCCATGCCAACCAATGAGCGTCCAGATGGCCAAAAGCCAGAAACCAATCAGGGCGCGGCATGTGCTTCATCGTTGCCAGCCGGAACTTTTTTTTCTACCTAGTGCCGATTTTCGCCTACATGGAGTCGCACGTGATCACCGCAACCACTACTGAAACCCGAGCGCTTTCTCGTTGTTATAATAAATGGCAACTCTTCGACGTTCGTTGCAACTGGCCAAAGACCAGAAGAACGATTGGACAGTATTCAAATGTGAATAGAGTAGAAAAGGGGAATGGAGACTAAACCTAAATACTTTGAAGCAACCTTAAGTTTTGCCTTTAATTATTCGGCTCTGCTTGCAGAAAAACAGTCCCACGAAAGTCAAATGGCACGTGAAATGCGCTGGCAGAGCAGTCCAAAGTCGGTGAGTGAATCGCCGCAATGCTACTCGCAAGGCGGCCTTCGTCACTGACTCCGTCGTAATAGTCGATGCAGAGGAGTAAAACCCAGGAACAAGAAAAAGACTTGAAGAGAAGGGAGGAATATGTGTCAGGCCTTCAGACCGTAGCCTCTCGTTCTTCAAGGACAACTCAGGACATTGGAGCAGATAACAACTAGGAGGTGGTGGTCAAGGCAGCCGCTCAGAACATTTCGTTTCAAAATACAAATCCAATTTGTTTACGCATCACAGTTGCATGATGGAGATGCAAGACTGTCCTCAGATGACACAGCTAGGGAGGGGGGGGGGGTGTTGCTATGCGCAAGAGCGTGACCTTATAGACGATCAACTAGCAAGTACGTTCAGAGGCAGTCAGCAGTTGGTAACTGCTTCAACAGAATTAATGAGACCATGTAGGAGGGAATTCGACTAATGGCGCACCAAATGGGCTTCGCATTGACTAGGAATGCTTATGAAAGTCGATTTAATCGTCGTAAAATGAGTAAATCAGGCAACCGATCGCCGAAACAGACACCGACCGATAGAGGAGATTAGACACAACTGGAATCATCCATTAAATGACTACAAACTATACACTGAAACGGCAAAGTATGAGTATGGCGTGAGGAACAGGTACCGCTCTTCACATTGTAGGGACCTAAGTAGGCCCAATCGACTAAAGTGGTGAAAAGGAGGTGGATGGGGTAAAAACTCCTTGGAGCTATTTAATTAAATGACAAAAATGGAGGGGAAGCGCAATGAGACTGCAGCCGTTCTTGAAAGGGGCACGGTGATTAAGGCAGACCAAATTTAGGAGTCAAAACCGTCCCATGTACTACAGTGTCTTCGCTACAATAATAGCACTACAGAGGGGTACGCCCAACACCTCTCAGCCCTTACAAAGAATGTGACCGCTTTCGCTGGTGGATGAGTGGATAAATACAATTGCGGGGGGCCCGAGTCTCAAGACCACTAGACGTAGCCACGAGACTACTAACCGACAATAGCAGAATTTAACATTCTAATTTGTCACCAACAAAAAACTGTTCAAGGTAACTCACCCCATCAGCAACATCACCACTTTTGCTGTCTTGACAATTTGATGGAGCGTCGTTCAGACGATATTCGAGAAGGGGGAGGATCCACTGCAAGGACACACGGGACTCCACAACACGCGTGAGAAGTTGGAAGGTGCGCCGCGAGACTTTATCGCGGAGTAACGACCCCATAACACCCAGACTAGAGTCACTTTGTAGGGAAGTGGCGAGAGAGTCCAGGGGAGTTGAGCAGTAACCCGAACTAGAGGAGGAGCAACTGGCGCTTTGAGCGCGAAAAGACCTGTATTCTCACAAAAAAGTGGAAAGGTCCAAGAATCGTCTAATTCAATCCAGTCTCTGACTTTATACAACACAAGTATACTTTGTTATTACAAAGTCATTCATTAATAATGGGCAATGGGTGGGTAGAGCAGTTCCTCCAGATAAATTATGAGGGCATTAAAAGTTAGTTCCCCTAACGCATTTATCGCACAAAAGGTTATATGGCCACGCCTCTGGTTTAAGAATTTACCTGGCTGCTGCTTGAAGCACTTCAGGCATCCTGAACAGCGCACACGAGCAGCTTGCGGTGTAACTGGGAAGACGTACCGACAAACGCGCCTCAAGTTCAGCTCGTTAAAACAAATAAATATAAATTCGTTAGATTATTGCACTAAAATTAAAAATCCTTGTTTGTTTAGGCTATTTCGAAGGTTCACGTTTCTAATACTACAGCTAGCACTCCTGCATTTATTGGTCTTGTTAACCTTAATAGTGAGCTGAACAATGCTCACACTGATCAGCGGCGCGCCGCCACCACCGGACCCAACACCCACAAGCCAAAAGAAGAACAACAAGCGCTCCCGGGCATATTTACTCAATGACTGTGCATCGCAACTACATGATCACCAACTCAGCAGCAAAACAGCAGCATCCGCAACGGACGCGGTGGAGAGAACAGCGACAAGACTTGCTGTTCAACAGGATAAAAGGAGGGGAAGAAGACAGGAGAAAAAGAGCGATTGCAGCTACTTTAAACGATTATGCGGAGGAGGAAGGCAGGGAGAACTCCACTAGATCGGTTTTGTCAAATCCTCTTCCTCTTCCTCCTCCTCCTCCTCCTCCTCCTCATCCTCCGCGTCATCATCATCGCCGTCACCATCACCATCATCAACACTCACTCCGCCGTCACTGGGACCACCGGGGACTTCCACAATGGAGGGACGCAGACCCAAGATCTGCGATGTAATGAAACACGCGATTAAACTCCTTATCATGATTCATTTTATTATGAAAGCAGCCTACCTGTTCAGCATGCGCTTGTCCCATCGCGTAACCAGCCTCGTACCACGCCCGCAGCAAAACAGCTGTGTTAATCTCTCCATTGGCAGTCGTCAGAGGCAACGAAGACAAGGAGGGGGGCAGGGAAGAGGCAGGTGGAGTGATTGTCACCCCGGATACCGTATCAGACGGCGTTGGAAGCAGGAAGTGGTGATGGTTGCAGCTAGGACGCAGCAGGTAAACCATCGGTGCTTTCCAAATATTGCTATTCCATCGAACCGTCCATCCACACCTTAATCACCCCTCCTTCTCCCCCTACATCCCGAGTCCATCGATTAAACCATGGATTCATCTATTTGGCCAACAGTCGACCCGACACAACAGCTGGAAAGGTAATTATCCATCCTACCGCCTACTACTCTAGAAGTAAATGACAGGTGTTTAACGAGGCGACAGTGTGACTGGCTACCGAACGCATCGTACATGTCATTACGTTGGTCAACCACTTGAATGCCGACGATTGTGATGAATGGATGGATGGGCGCGGGATGGACAAATAAGCCGTCAAAAGGCATCAAAAGTGCAGACGGGTCAATTTGACTCACCTACAACGAGCAGCGGATGAGAGCGAAGGCGGTGGAGGCGGTGGAAGGAGTTCTGGATGTAAGTCGAGGTTAGGAAGGAGCCAGGAATAGACAGGCGCCACGCCACTTCCTGATCCTGCAGCTGTGGCGGCGGCGGCGGCGCCGAACTGAGAGGAGGAGGCGGCAGCAGCAGCGGTGGAATACGACTACGAAGGCATGTAGAGGGGAGTAAGAAAAGTCGACCCATCTGTTCATCCTAATTCCTTCATTTCTCGATTCGACCCTTCAACCAACCTTCCATTAACCCGTCCACCCACCGAACCACTTACCGACCTACTGATCCATCCACATTCAAGCAGCTAGTTCAAGACCTTCCGTACTGCTCTCGTAAGAGGTATTAACGAGGCATCATTTTAAAGTTGGGGACTTCACATGCAACAGTCCAATAAGCGCGTCTCCCGAGGAAACGCCAAAGAAATCAATGCTTCTAAGACGCATTGAAACCAATGGCCTTTGAGAGAGCCAACAAGATGGATTAGAGGTGAAACGAGACCGCACAAGACATTCAAACTCACCAAATTGGCAGCAGCTGCAGCAACGGCGGATTCTGAGGTGATGGAGGCTGTGGAAGGTGTCCACTGGTTTGCCTCACCCCCGTGGGAGCACTGAGAGCAGAGAGGATGGTGAGCGTCATTACCTTGAATACCACCGACGCCGCCTCCTCCCTTTCGCTTGTTTTTGTTGTGATGGCGCCTTTTTTTGCGGCTGGAAGCAGGGGCGGAGGTTACGGCGGCATTGCTACCGGAGGTGACCGGCGCGTGGATGGACTTATTGCCGGTGGAGGAGGGTTGTGGTTGCGATGGCAATGGTGGAGGCAAGGGGGTCTTACCGCTACGGAAGGCTTCCACTTGCGCCTGTGGAATGAACAGGAAGAGAGAAGGAGGAGGGAGAGATGGGTGAATAAATAGATAGGCAGACCCAAAAGGAACAGATAGACTCTCCTCCCAACTCACCTTCACCTGCATTTCCACCTGAGCGTACTTGGCCAACAGCTCACAATCATCCCACATCTCGTCAAAATTCTCGCCCGAGCCCTCGGGCGGAGGCCATACTCGTGTCGACGAGGTCAGAGAATCGTTTGCTTCGCACATCTTCTACAAAGGAAAGCAGGCCACCCTCGCGAAGAAGCAGGCAAACAGGCAAATTGGGTAGGCAAAGGATAGGCTCGACATAAATTGGTGAAAAATGGAGTTGTGGCAGGTGGATGGGTGGATGTAGCCGGGAACATGGTGGGTAGAGTGAGTGAAGAAAAGGTGGATGGCTAAATGGGTGGACGAATGGAACCGATAGGGGTCGAGTCGTAATAGATGGATGTGGATTAAAGTATGAATGCGAAACAGATCCGGTGCGGACGGATGAGGTCCAAATAACTAATCAAACGAAGGAAACAGTGCATTGTGTAGTAATTGGCCGACTAGATGGACGGACAAATGGTTGAAGAAGGTTTGAAGAGATGGATGACAAGCAGAAAGGTAAAAAACAGAAAAGAGACGTTGATAAAAGCGTTTTATTTCCATTGGCAGAAAAGGGGGAGGAGAGAGAAAGCAACAAACTCTAAACACAGGCACACACATGCATACAAGGACTATTTAAACAAGATGGAATAAATGCATTTTTTTTCTT